GAATCTCAGCAAATACAGCAATTTAGGCGCTTCCTCACTACAAGCTTGATGCTACGGCTAGTGCTAAGAAGGAGAATGCGTGTAAGAATAGGTGAGATTTGCTCATCTTCTCTTCTTTTTATTTGTGCACCATTCGAACAGTCAATTCCGCAGCTGTTCTTGAGCTTTTTGATGAAGCAGTTTCCAGATATAACGACATTCGTGCCTTTGATGCCACACGTGTAAAACTTAAAGTAATCAATGAAGACGAAAATTCGGACTATATCAATGCAAACTTTATTAAGGTAAGTAAATCCCTTTTTAAAGGACATTTTTATTGTTACATAAATTTGCTTGAACGTTCATATCGGGAATTTTACAATAAAATTTTCCAGGGGTGGGATGAGCGAAAGATATTCATAGCAGCTCAGGCTCCCCTCGACACGACCATTTCTGATTTCTGGCGAATGATATGGGAACAAGATGCTCGCCTCATAGTAATGGTCGCCAACCTATTCGAAAAGAATCGTCAACAGTGCACGAAGTACTGGCCTGATGATCAACCAACTAAGTAAGTCAATATTTTCTACAATCCTGCGTTTCCTTCTCTGTTTTGGAGTTTATTTCAAGTTGAGTAATAGGTATTAGTAGTAGCAGGCTTTTAGCTAATTTGCAAAAACGTGAATTATGTTTTGTAATGCTGAAGTACATTTCATTTCTTAGATATGGTGATTTATTGGTGAGTCCACGAGAAGCATCGTATTTCGCTGACTATGCCGTTAGATGTTTTGATATAGAGCCCGTAAACGAAAGATTTAACAGAATGTCGCCTGGCGCAAGGTAACTCCACTTTTCTTTCGTTGCAATTTTTCCAAACATGCTTTCTAGATCCGATATTGGATCAATCGAATCCACTCCTGGCTCGGAATATGCGAATGTTCCATCAGTACGTCATTCTAATGGTCACGCCGAAACATCGTTCGTAGGTACGGGTAATGGTACGTTTTATGGAAGCACATGTTTATAACTTATCGCACTATTTTATTACTGATTTTAATTAGATACTCCTTGTCCTTGATTTTTAACTTCTAGTCCGCCGTGTAGTGCAGTATCATTTTAC